TGCGATGTCCGAGGTCTCTCCGGGATTGCCGAGAATTGCCGGCTTGACCGAGAATTTGATGAGCGAGATTTCATTCGGAGATACGGACCTAATATAGAACACTGCCGGGAATAAACATGAAAGAATAAACTTTTTCAACTTTACCATTTCTCAAAACTTTCTTCAATAATATGTTTAGATAATGTCTTCTGCTCGACGCACCTAATCCACGAGATTTTGATTTATTGCCCTGTCGTGGACAAATTGTACAAATCTTTCAAACTTTGCCACAGATCAATCGGGGAAATACCGAATTTTAATAACATCGACATCTTTATAAACACTCCGGAAAGTTTTTTTATCACGGAAACTCCAACTTTTAATAAGATTTATTTTCGGGTTTATTTCAATAATAGGACTGTCTCTGTTCAAGTTCATATCCGAAATTAAATAGGTATATTTGCTATGCAATTATTGCAGTAAATAACTAATAATACAAGGCAAACAAGCTCATATTTAGCAGAGCACGTAATTGACACTGAAATTAAAGGCAAACAGACCTCGAGTAGTAATCACTAACTCCCAGACTCGTTTAATTACAAGAAGGATAATGCATTATTGTACCTGATAATTATTATCACTTTTAGCAAGGAACTCATTTTCCTATCTGGTCGAATATTTCAACCGACGACACGAACATAGGATGGAAAGAATTCTCGTCAGTTTCCTAAATTGGGTCATTATTAATCCGAATTTTTAATATAGCATCAAGACGATAATTTTTACAGAAGCTGGTTGAAGTTTTTTTATCGATTATCACGCAGATTACTACAAGTTAAAAAAGATAGTACAACCATTAACAATAAATCGGATAGGAAATGGAGCGTCGTAAATTATCGAAAACTATTAATGCCGCGATTGTGGAGATTAACCCAGTGAATTGCAGACGTGATTTTTAGAACACCGCTTTTGTAAGAAGTAAAGTGAGTTGAGGTATAATAGCGAGATTCTCTCTGTTCACTATTTTAGACTTTGTTGGTAAATGCCGACAAAAGCGGTCATTCTAAGGCAGTGTTCACTCGCTTCGAATTTCATTCAAATTGAAATTTCTAATTTAATACGAGTGTAGACACCCTTCAAAAACTATTTTTCAAAGTTGCTTTGTATCGTCTATCTCTGAACTTTGCTGTTTCGTTTGAAGGGAGAATACTGGTGAAATTTTAAAACAATTTTGCTTGATTAGAAGAAATATGTTTAGTCCAGTTTTGAGATTTTGTGAAACTTTCTCATACCCTGAGCGAGGAATATTTTGAAAAAGAAAGGTACTTTTAAGCTATTATCCTTTATGTACTCATATTTTTAACACAAAACTTGTTCAATTTTAGTTTTGCTAAGTTTAAGGCATTTGTATGGTTTTGCCATAGATTGACATAAAATTGTACCTACATTTTACAAAATAGACTCATAATAGGTCATTTGGGTGCCGTTGCCGGCAGCGGAGGCACTGCCTAAAGTAAATGTTTTAAATGTTTTCTTTTATTTAACATTATTTTTATTTTTATTTACCTTTTTTTTACTAGCACTCTATTATTTTTACTTATAGTCCTGGAAGTGACGTTTGATGCATTTTTGTCACCGTGTGGGGGAATCTGTTCTTCCGGAACCGTTGACTTTTTTATTGCTTGTTTGAGATCGATGAAGACGAAAGGTTTTTTTCATTTTTGATGGAGAAATCCTTTGGCATCTCATTCGACGGTCGATAATGCTTTTAGTTCGTAATCAACAACGCAGATATATGGTCCAGGCCA